TTTCAATTTCTTTGTGATCCCGAGACCCTCAGTTTGAGACACGCTATCCTAGCTGATGGCAATACCTCCTGTAACAGCAGTGTCTGTAATTTCAATTTCTTTGTGATCCCGAGACCCTCAGTTTGAGACACCCTATCCTAGCTGATGGCAATACCTCCTGTAACAGCAGTGTCTGTAATTGTCAATTTCTTTGTGATCCCGAGACCCTCAGTTTGAGACACCCTATCCTAGCTGATGGCAATACCTCCTATAACAGCAGTGTGACGTCCAGATGTTTGCAGTTTAAGCACAAGTATGATATCCAGCAGTAGAAAATAAACGTTTCAGCAGGTACTGAATGATAGGTATTCACACCAAGAACATTAAGAAAAATTTGGATATCTTACAAGCGTGAATTAAATCTGAAGCTGAGGATTATTTTAAGATCAGTGATGATATCTTTGTTGCTTACTCTGCTTTTAACTTTTTATACAGTTTTGTTAATAACCATGTTTCATTAAAGTGTATGGTATTTCAAGATGGTGGAACCGTTCTTATTTCATAACTAATATACACACGATGTGATGATGAATACTCTGTAACCTGAAGGAACCAATAAAGTATACACTTCCATGATAAAGGTATTTACAAGGACAGAGAAATTACCAAGTTTTAAAACATTTTAATGTCAAGAGTTTTTAATTTGACTGATTTAATCTGAATCAGAAAGTATTGAGTGGAAGGAAAATACTCAAACGTAGATTTTAAGTTTTCAATTTCAAAATTCAACAATGTATAGATATATTTGTCGTATTTCTAGTCATGGTCTAAAACTAAAGACTTTAATTAACATTAGATAAATTGTTTACAAAGTTTTTCTTGTAAACATTTTCAATATTTGTACATTCGGGGACATACGTTTTTAACAAATCAAATAACAGTAAGCTGGACAGAGCTACGTCTATCTGACTGTGAGAAATAATTGGCTCAGCTAAAATAACCCTAATGAACAGACGTCAACTTTCCCAAAATGTGTTATTGCAAGATTTTTTTTTTAACCCTTTCACTGCCGATTTTTCCTATGGAAAGTTGTCTACAGTGCCGGAATTTCCGGTGAAAAATGTGGGTACTTCGTGAAGCAGTCTGGAAGACACATGGACAGGCATCGCCCCCCCTTCCATCCTTACAATTCATCCATCCATGTCTGGTTTGCTTCCTCTTTGGATGCGAAGGGCTTTCACTGCACACTACACAGTTGGGCTTGTATTTAGGATCTAGATAAGCCATTGGAAAGTGATGCCGAGTTATCCGTCAACCTCCTCCCTATCCTTCCAAATTTATTGGGAGAAACAGAAGCACAGAGTTTGGTTGCCAACTTTTCCCTGAATGAATGTGACTCCATTTCTGAATTAGGGTTATCAGTTGTGTACAGTATGTAGGAGTTGACTAGTGCTGCCTCTCTGATGAAGTGATAAATTGCATGATACCACTTTTTGCATTTGTATTAATATAGGTAGCTGGTACATTTCTGGTCAAACAAGTTAACTCCTCCCTGTAATTGCAGGCCACATTTGGGTTTTTTCACATCCCTAAATCCAGTCTCTGACTGCTTGGATCGAATTTGTTTCTGAGTGTAGTCATTATTATCGGTTGTTGAGAAGAAGTTGACCCTTGTAGTGTCATGCCAGGAGCAGACAAGCACATCACTCTTTCTGTAATAAACAGGATCATCATCTTTCTTCAGCTGTAACCTTGCTGTTTTAATTTCTTCTGGAAGTCCTCTTCTACTCAATCTCACAGTTCCACAGGCACCGGTACCCAGTTCCTTGAGGGCTTCAAAGAGGCCAGGTCTGGAGTAGAAGTTATCAAGGTATAAATGGTGCTCGTGGTGCAAGTATCCATTATTGCTCATTAGTTTCATAACAACATTATGATCCAAACCTTGCTCTGGTGCCACAAGGTTATTGTCTCTATCAGTTTAACAGATAACCCGACTTGCTCTCACACAATGACCACAGTTTTATACCCCACCTTGTGGGTTTGTTCCGTATGTACTGACAAAAGTATATCTGTCCCTTGAACTTCCTCATCGATTCATCAATTGTAAGTTCAGGACGTGGAATGTAATACTGCTTGTACAGTGGCTTCACAATGTTCATGAGGGGAGCAATTTTATACAAAGGATCATATCCTTCCTCTTCAAGTGGAACCCTTTGAGAATTTTCACAAAAATGAAGGAACTGATCAGCTGGTAACGACTGCGTGGCAGTACATCTCGATAACCAGGGGACTGGGCTATACCCCCAGTAGTCACTAATCCTTGGCCAACATAGGCTTTGATTTCATCTGTAGTATACTCAACCCAATCATTGTAGCGAGGAGTTTCAGGGAGGTCTGCCGGGTTATCAAAGAACTCCAGGGCGTAGTTGTTGGTCATCTCAAATGCTTCCTGAGGGAATAACAAGTAGAAATAATCTCCAGGTTGGTTACCGTCAGGCAAAGGTAATTTCACAGGCCTTTTGGCATAAGCTGGACACCAAATTGGGATATAATCATCATCAATGACCCACTCATGATCAGCACCAGCCATGCCCCCTTGGCTATCATCATCATCATCACTATCCCCATGTGCTATATCATGTGTATTATCATTACTTACAGCATTATCTGTATCCGTGTCATTGTTTTCCCAATTATCATAGCCTAATTCACTCAATTCTGAGTCTGAATCTCACAATATTTTGCCCAACACATCCTCTGTGGCAAGCCATTGTATTAGTTTACCTTTATCTGTTGACATGATTCCGGTCAGTGCCCTCAAATTGGGTCAAAAGTCAAGAATTTCACAAAAATAACACCCACGATCGAGGAAACTACACTAAATTACATTGTAATTGCCTAGAAACCCGTGCACATGTGGCACGGAGTAAATTACAGACCGGTAAATGGAACCATGTCAGGAATTCGACTTCAGTCACGTATGGCAGTGAAAGAATTAATAAAAATGTCTCATTAGCTTCGGTGATTAAATTCATCCAGCTGCACCAAATGGGCCAAGAACCTATAAAACAAAACTTTTAAATCCACACTCAATAAATGTCAAACGTTGTACATTACCTATGATAATATTTGAAGCTCACAAGATGATTTGAGGGAGAGATGGTTGTTTTTATCTCCATCACTGTGGATGTCTATTTTGACATGAAGGAGTAACATAAAAGATAAACTTTCTTCAGTACAGTGAGGTGTCATCCTACTGGAAGTAACTTGAAGTACACGATGCAGTAACTTTATAAAGACTTTCTCAACGTTGAATTTTGAGATAAATGATTTTAAATCAAGTGTTAGTAACACAGATTATATATATCCATATAAATTCTTTATCACAATGAGAGATAAAATCTTTTAGATATTTCAGCCAACTACTGTTAGTAACACAACAACCATCATCAGGATAACTAGTCGGCTGAAATATGTAATAAAGATATGAAATACTGCACATATTAATTAATTATTCTGTTATTAGCTATTAAGTTAACTAATATGAGTATGGAATTAAGAACAAAAAAGCTACTTAACCCTTCCCACAAAACATATATAACTTTTAGGATTTTTTTCTTTTATTTATCGGTGAACACAAAGTGCTATTGGTAGCCTAGTTTTGCTTGGAATGGTATATATTGCATTGTTGTATCTAAAGTCTTCATACGTGTTAGTTCATTAGGATATTACAGTGCTGTGTGTAGGTAATACTTCGTGGACTGATGAAGAAATTAGACTTTATAGTAATGTTGCCATAAACTAAAATGGTTTTTAACATGATGTTGTAGAACTGTAGACAAGTGATGTAAGTATATCATACATGTGTGTCTGACTGAGGTTTGTGAATTAACAGCGTATGTACAGTTGTGTATATAGTTTTGGTTGAGGTTCCCTAGCAACAGAATGAATGGTGTGGGAGAGACAGGGTATAATGGTAAAACCTCTTGTAGCCCTGGGTAGAGGAATGAATACATCTTTTAATACTGACACTTGATATTCTTAAGTCTCTCATTCATTAGGAAGTTATTAGAAGTTAAAAACACCTTTATTTATTTCTCCTGAATATAAACTCATACTTACAAATGGTATAATGATCTATTTCTTCTCACGTGTGGTCGTTTATTCCTACAGAATAAGAACAATGTGTAGTTTTTACAATATTAACGACATCTGTGTCCACATAATATGTGAAAGGATAACTTGGGAGTTTCAAATTAGTAATAACATTCAATCATGGGGTGAAATTCTGCTGGTACTTACCTTAATTTAAAGCCAGTTCTTTTTATAATTCCAAGTTCAGTACTACTTTGTTTTTTGGAAACTATTTGAATATTGCACAAAGAGGTACCGTTAACATCCTACTCCAGACATTCAGACACCGGGTCCTGGGAAAGGTGAGTACCTTTATTTCTTTATGGAGAGACTTGCTAGTGATGGAAGAAATGTTTCAACATTCCTCACAACTGTTGTTAACTAGGTATATACGCTTTACAGAATGCCACAATTAACAGGTTTCACATTCTTGTTCGAGGATACAGTATTGGCTCACCACCACCACCAGCAGCCTCGGATTTAAGGCTCTATGTTTGATGTTGATTGTTTAGCAGGAAATTAATAATGTAACTGTTAATTATGTCTTAATAGCTTAGTAATTCCCAACCATTTTCTGATTAACATGGGGACATAACCTACCCAAGACCCACATTGTAAGTTCAGCGGAGACGTACCAAAAAGGGTGAATGGGTATGTCCAATTAAGAGAAATTCTGGTACAATAACGTGTTAAGTTAAATATTTACTGACCAGTCAGTGATAAACTAGCCCTTCCTCAAAATTACTACAGACCTTATTCGTGACGTTGCCGGGAGGCCGACACTGTTACCATCTTAAATTACCTTTATTTTAATGAAAAGCTTTACAAGAACCTGGTAATATGAAAAATAATCACTGGAAACAGGTTATTAACATTCTTTACATGGTTGAATCTTAGTATATATGTTGGACAACATGATGGTGTACGATTCCTAACATCAGCAAATTTTCAGATGATAGGTAAAAGCTTTTGAAGAAAAACTTTAATTTATTCATCTAGGACAGATGGATGTTGATTCTTTCTGGCCAATCAAATCAATTGAATTACAGTAGTAACTGTTCATCACTAAATTAAGTATTGTTTGTTTGTTTTGAATTTCGCGCAAATCTACACGAGGGCTATCTGCACTAGCCGTCCCTAATTTAGCAGTGTAAGACTAGAGGGAAGGCAGCTGGTCATCACCACCCACCGCCAACTCTTGGGCTACTCATTTTACCAACGAATAGTGGGATTGACCGTCGCATTATAACGCCCCCACGGCTGAAAGGGGCGAGCATATTTGGTGTTACGGGGATTCGAACCTGCGACCCTCAGATTGCGAGTCGAGTGCCTTAACCACCTGGCCAAATTAAGTATTTAAAATATACACACACATTTTATGCGTGTATAATGTAGAACTATTACAATGTAGTGACACGAACCAGTGTAGGAATGAAACCATTTAGACCACCAAAACCGTTGCTACACTGAATGAAGCATGATGTATCCAGTATGTCCTGTATGCTGGAACAATAAAATCATGTTAAATTCAAGTTGCCAGGAAAATTTATTAATGATTTATTTTATTCTTTTTTATTGAAGTACATGATTTCTGCAAGACGGCCAAGAGGGGATATTGGCTAAAAGTCATACAATATATACAAGAAAATTATTTAATGTACGACACATATCTGTATAACTATGACCACATGCCTAAAAAAGAACCAAACACCTAAGCTAACATCCCTTCTAGGCAGTCTATGGTATAGATATGCGCTAGTTCGTCATTACCTTACAAATCCATCTGAACTTGTCGTTTTTAAATAATTGAAAATAATATTCAGAGATAAACTTCTGAAGTACAAATAGGATAATAGAAAAACTATCTTTACACAAATATTCTAGAAAAGTCGAACCTGACTGAAGAAAAAATAAAAGTCAAAGTACACCACTATCATTGTTTGGGTAACATCTCCACGGGAAACCACTCGGTAGTCAGCTACGTTTATTCCGATAAATGCCTATTACTGAATCGAAACATTTATAAAATTCAAGTCTTTATGTTTTCAAGATTCCTTCGTTAAGACACAACAAACTTTTACAGAAGTTTAATGTTTAAAAGACCAACTAGTGTCACTTACCATAATGGATATGTTTTCAGAAGAGCTAAGAATTTCGTAAAAAAAAGAAACGTTTCCAATATTTTTGACTCTCGGGTGGGAGACTCATATTTCTTTTTACTGGGTAAATCAAATCCTGACTATTAAGTTAATTTTTATGTATCTTATGATGTGGGTGGAAGTAATACAGAGGGAAAAACTTCTGCTAAACCCTGGAGCAGTTTGAATCTTCAAGTAAGACTACCTGTGTATCATTCACGTGATTTGGAAGTCTTTACGTCACTTTTTAATCGTGTAAGAAGCAATGTGTGAAATATAAAAATCTAGTCTATTCATGTTTATTCTCTCAGCATGAAGTCGCCATTAATTTTTTCTGTTTTACATGATAAGAGCTAACGACCTAAATCCGAGTCCCATTAGACTGTGTCCATGTTCACGCTAGAGGACGCCAAAGTCCGACTGAACTACCATCAGACCAGAAGAAAGGCACAGAAGCTGACACATCACACAATGACAATATCTAAGATATTACATCAAAAGAAAAGCCAGGGCATATGATGTGTTTATATATATATATAGTGAAAGGCGATAAAATAAAGTTCCTATCCAGCTGAAGTAAACTCAAAATGAATCTTGTTAACCCTAACAGTTCTGATTTAAGAATGAAGATGTAGCTATTTAGCTGGTAAGAAGAACACACCAAGCAGCCGTTGAAAAATGTGTTAGTACGCTTGGTTAAACAAAGTGTATACAAACTGTACCCCCCCCCCCCCCCAACTCATATACAGGGCTGTCACCATTGCCAATAGCTTGCACACCATCATTTGGTAATGATCAACTTTACTCCCGGTCTCTACTGGATCACACAACATTTGCCCTTTGGCTTCTTCTTCTGAATCAATACTGGTTCAACCTGTTGGGCCTCTGTTGGAGGGGCAACAAGTCCATGCTGCACTTCAACAACAGTGGGTGTTTTATCTGTCGGGGCTCTTCCATTGACATCAGGTTTGGCAGCGTTTAGATTATTGGCTTCGGCAGGAGAAACAAGTGGCTCCTGGACATCTTCAGGAGACTGAGTTACATCACCAAGCCCAGAATCATCTGTCTCCATCTTGGTCGGAGTAATGGGCTTTCCCTCCTTGATAAGACTAACGATAGTCTCTGCTTCGCGACTGAGTTCACCATCTGGCCGAAAGGGGTTGTCCAGACCACTCTCGGTGCTGAAACAAAAGAAATTCGAGTCAGGTAATCTGAATTGTGCTTTACACCAACCGCAAGGCAGCAAAAAGCATAGTTTTAAATTTAAATGTTGAACCTCTTCAACATCAAACAATTTCTACTTTCAAAGAGGAAAGTTCCAATAATTGGTTTCATTTGTGGCTAATTTCCTCTTTAGTGTTTAAAAAAACCTTGGTTTCTTGAATATGGATAAGAATACATAATTATTTACTTGCCTGTATACACTAACATGGCCGGGTACGAGTATGAATATGATGGCAATTGTAAAAGTTGGAAAAAGAAAAACTTATCTAAACGTACAAACATATTAGACGTATGGGCATTTCTCTACGACCACCATTATTTGGTGCTTGAAAGGTATAATGAAATGCATATCTATATATATATACATATATATATATATTCACCTCTTCAGTAGTCTTAAATCTGCCATTGTTCTAATAACATTGAAATGGTGGTAATAAAATTAATTCTTGAGAACCCAGGATGTGTATTGTATTCTATAAATTAAATTTAGTTTAGAACAGTCGTAGTTACTTAGTTCTGATACAATTCCGCTGTGACCAGAATCAGTGTAATATACATTAACCTGCTATAATGTGATATTCTAAAGATATATGCTTTTTAAATTCGTGATTGAACTTAAAAAAAAACAACTCAACTAGTTGTTTTGTCGCTCATTAACTCTGAAATAATTCCACAGATGGCGCTGTGATAATATTTTCTGATGTATGAAGTCATTCCGTTACTAAGGGATAAATTACTACTCCTTTACAAACACTAAATACATAGGTCTGTGATTACATTTAGGTAAAACATTTGACTACTCGTTTCAAATTAATGTTGTAAATTATACTAAACAAGTTTAATGATTTTTATCAGAGTTAAACATCTTCTAATATGCTTTCCTTGTGCACTTTTTGGTTCCTACACATTTTATCTAACTTACTGAGCACCTAAAGTTATAATTATTCTACCAGTCTTCAAAAAAGTTCGTATTTTTCATGGTAACACAGACATTCTTACAGAAATTAACTTCACGTCGAGAGAAAACAACGACAGAATTGTGAAACAATTTACAAACATTTTTTTTTTTATAATCCATCTTAGCAAGCAATTATTTTCAGAATATCAAAGAACGCTCCTTCGTTTTCAATGATTTACGTAAAACAATACCTTACTCAAGTTTGTTTGTTTTTGTTGCTTGATAGTCAAGCACCACCTGGAAAAAAAAAGAGGGCACTGTAACATTCCGACAGTCCAATGAGCTGAATAATTTACTTTTACTTCTAACTTCCAGCCAATTAGAGAAAGATCACAGATGTAATTCATTAAAAGGTCG